GTGAAACGGCCGACGTGTCTAAAAACACCTGAAATGTTTCCAGATCAAACTGGATGTTGTTCCTGAATCATGACGTAAATCTGGAGCGTCTGTAAAAGACGACATCATGACGTTTCTACTGGAGTTGGTTTTCCTCCTTTCTTTCATCTATTCCCTCGTTTTCCTGTAACTAAACCCTAAAGCTGCGGATTTATCCACCATGTTAGAGGTCAGAGCTGCAGTGTCAGATAAAAGGTTAAATTAAATCATAATGACCCAATACTGTCCTAGAAATGAGAACAACTCAAACACACAAGTTACTTTTCTGCAGAAGAATTTCCACTGCCTGGATGTCTGTGGTGAACTCTGCTCTCTGAGGAGCAGGAGGGGTCAGAGGTCAACACCGGATAAAGCAGGACAGTTTCCTTTTTTATAGATCAGTCAGGTGGAGAGAGCGAGACTTTTCCTTTTCTGGGAGAAACATTTGTTCTCAGCGTCTGAAGTTAAAACAACAGAACGTTCCTAACAGGCCAAACGGCTGTAAAATAAAATAACATTTACATTTTTCTAACAATGAGCAGGAAACGAATGGCAGGACGAGGATATAAAAAGGAGAGAAGCTGCAGGAAAATGCTTCTAAAATAAATTAGTTCTACTGTCATTTTTTGTTACTTTGTGGTTTTTAACCAGGTCCAAACTTCCAGAACGAATCTTGAGGTTCCAGTTAATCTAAAACTAGTTTAGTTTGAACTAAAGACATCAGAAAAATAAATAATCCAGTAAAACTGATTAAATGTTTCCCACCAGCTTTACTGACCCAGATCACCTGAGATAAACCACCTGAACCGGGTTACTGGAACCAGTTCCCTCAGTCGGAACACCTAACCGACCCGTTAGGAAGCGGGTCGCCTAACCGACCCGTTAGGAAGCGGGTCGCCTAACCGACCCGTTCGGAAGCGGGTCACCTAACCGACCCGTTCGGAAGCGGGTCACCTAACCGACCCGTTCGGAAGCGGGTCACCTAACCGACCCGTTCGGAAGCGGGTCGCCTAAC